TACTTCATCGTTGACTGGAAATCTATGTAGTATGTAATCACATACTCGACAGAAGTAACTTCTAACATGAAGATAAAACTTATTTTTGTCTTCTGAAAATTCTTCCCCTCCTTTTGTAGTTGCAGCTCCTATTACCAAATCTTCATCTTTCTTTTGATTTTCTATTTCACCATAAATCACATCATATTTAGAATTACAAAACAAAACACAGACTGGTTTTACAAACTTTGATAAAATGTCTTTAAACAGATCATAAATCAATGAATGCAAAACATGAATTAATGGAATTCTGCTTTGTAGAACTGTGTTAAAAACATAGAATGATGGCAAAATGAATTGTAAAAAAAAAAAAAAAAAAAAAAAAAACTTTGTTAAGGTCCGAAGAAAAAAACATAAATATTCGTTCTTCACAAGATAAACTTACAGTAATCAAAAAATGTTTCGTGTGTTTAGCAATTTTTTTTTTATTTTGAGAGAAATTTGTATCAGCTTTACGCTTATATTTTGCAGTATTATTTTGAGAAAATCCAGTTGAATTGCTGAATGGTGCAGAAATTATTTTTCTCAAACCTATATTTAACAATGGAAGTAGTAACTACATCTCCATTTACTTTAGGTATTTTATAACTTTCAATAGAATCTTTTATCTTAATTCTGGAAGCATTTACTTCTTTAAAAAAATGCAAGTGGGTCCATTGATCGAGGATTCTAGATAAGCATTTTTTTAAAGACAGCCAGCGTGTACACACGTTTCAAAATTTGTTTCATTTCAGTATTATGCAGCTGTTAGAACTGTTTCAATTTTTCCTTCCTTTTAGAACTCCTTTCAAGATAATAAATATCAACAATGTGTTCATCCACATTTAACAGTAAAGAAGTTGCAACTTTTTCAGCTGCTAAATTTAAGAGGTGACAGGTGCACCTCATAATCTGCAAATCTGAATTTTCCTTTCTTAAGATGCCTGCAACACCAGTCTTCAAGCCTACCATTACTAGTGCATTATCGGCACCAAGTGCTAAGCAATTATCCAGAGGGACTGTATTTTCTTTAAAAGTTTTAATAATTAGCTGTGCTCTATTAAAGCCTGTCGAATTTCCTTTTAAAATGGGAACAGAAAGTAAACTGCACTCAATTTTTGAAGAATATGGATTAAAAAAAGAAACAACAATTGGATACAGTTTTGAATTGGTATTATTGCTTCCATCCGTAGAGAGGCAGAACAAAGCTGTTTTAATGCAATCAATAACTGAAGATTTATTTTTCAAACCCACTTCTTTAACAATTGCACCTGTTTTGGTCCTTGTACTTGAGCATTTCTTAGCGATTTCACTATCGGGAAACATTTTTCTAAATAAAGCTGTAGCGTGATCCGATTCATTCAGTGGCAGGTTGTGCTCCAGTAAAAAAACAGAGAACAGGCATTCTGCATTAATAACTTTTTGGTCCTTTGTTTCCGAAGAAAAATTTAATTTTTCGTTTTTTTTTTTTTTTTTTTTTTTCCCCTCAAAACAACTCACATTGTCCTTGTGTTTTTGTGTACACACATGTTTGAGAACATCCGCCCTTCCACCATGCGAAATCGAAAAATCGCAAAGACAGATGGTACACATCGCAAATTTATTACATTTCCTTGAGGAAATAATGGAAGGAAAGTCAACTGTTTACGATTTTTGAAACGCAAACGAGTATTTCACCTTTCTCACACACATAACAAAAGATGATAATTTCTAAAACTATTTTGCGAAGGCACGTGTACTCACACAGACACAACTCAGGACAAGATGAACAAAATAACTAAAGAACATGCAAATAACAGTCTTGAGCTTGCTTTGTGCTCATTGGCTAATATATGTCAGATGACACGCAGTGGAGCTCGATACCCATTGGAGAACTGGAGAACAACGTTTCTGGATATGTATGCTCTAACTCACACAGCAAAAATTCTCATCTGATTCGCAAGGTTTTGTTTTAGATATAATCTAGAGAAAATTCAACTGCTTTCAGACATCCAAAATCACTTTTTGTTGTTCATATAACGAAATATTAAGCCAAGTTCCATAAAAATTGTGAGAAATTTTAAGAATGAGAAAAAGTCAGGAGAAATATATTGTAAATCGGGTTGGCGGGAGAGCGGTCCAAAATCAGGAGCCTCCCGCCTAAATTGGGAGAGTTGGCAACTCTGCTAGAGGCTCAGTGGTCATGCCTTGAAGCCACTGCTCTTCATAATGGCGTTCACTGCTTTTGAAATAGGAATGTTTATATTACCCAGATATAGATAAGAGGCTTTGAAACCACAGGGTTATTTTATTACTAAACAATACATGTACCTGCCCAGTGAAAAGGTATTTCTTTTCCAGAAATTTTTCTCCGACTTCAACATGCTTAATTTTTTTAAAGCCTGGAGGTAAAGATGGACTCGAATTAAGGTCATTAAATAGAACAGAAAAAGTGTGATTTTTAGACGAACAGTGCTATGCACCAGAGGACTTCTGTGATCCTTTTTCCTAATATATGCTTAGTGTTCTTTAACACAAATTTTTAAGGCTCTCTTAGATTGACCAATCTAAATTAAATCACGCTGGCAAGGAATCCAGTAAACATCCCAGGAATTCATATCTGGAATGGTATCCATAAGTATGGAACTGGGAATTTTATATGTAAGAGAATAAACTACTTGAAAGTTAAATTTCAGTAAAATAAGTGCATTTTTATAGCTAATTTATGGAAACAAAAGAATGACAAGAGAATTCATATAATCTCCTAAAACAAACCATATAGAGGATTTTGTGGGTTAAAAGTTGGGTATATCAGTAAAAAATCTAAACCATTATCCAAAGCATGAGCAAAAGTTTTTTAATTTTTTCACAAAAAGTGTTAATTAAATTTGTATCTTCAAATCTTTGAATAAGATTTATATTTATACATTTTTCTGACGTGTTACTCATTTTCATGTTTAATCTGTTAACTGGGTATGACGAAATTTTTCGTCATGCTGGGAAGACTATTTCAATGGGCATGACGAAATGTTTCGTCATGCTGGGAAGACTATTTCAATGGGCATGACGAAATGTTTCGTCATGCTGGGTAGACTGTTTCAATGGGCATGACGAAATTTTTCTTAATTTTTTTGCAATCTGTCACTTGACCGTTGTTCAAGAAAAATCGATCAATAGAAACACTTGTCCGCTCATAAACTGTGATAACATTCCTAATTTGCACAACTTAATTTCATTTTAGTCTGCATTTCAGTATTTTACATATTAGTAATAACTTGTTGATTTGAGTAATTGTTAGTTTTTTATAAATATGGCTAAAAATTATTGTGAAGCAGAAAATATTTTTGAATTGTCTGAAAGTGACGATGAAATATTGCCCGGGAGGTTTGGTAAACGACATCGAATTCTAAGAATAAGTACCAGTTCGGAAGAAAGAGATAACGACTTCTTTACTGATGGTCCGGACATTGAATCAAAGGATGATGATGATGTTACAGACCAAAATACTCAACCGACATCAGCTGACTGGAAATGTGAAAGAATATTGCGATCGCCGGTACAACTCTGATATACACCCTAATTTCACCAAATGTGGCGATATGTGTTCTGCGCTGGTTTTTGGAGCGATTGTGTGTTCGATGGCAACCCTGTTGACGTTGAACAATCTTTCGCTGGAGCTCGTTGATTCGCGTCTGTGTCTGAAAAGATGGGAGGGAAAGATAAAATGGTAGAAGTTGTTGAATTGAAGTTCGGCAAAAGGAAATATCATTGTGGCCATCCTGTTGAGGGATAGTGGGTATTTGGAGGTGTGGAAAGAGGGTCTGGGAGATTATTTTTAATGGCTGTGCATGATAGAAGTAGGGATTTGTGATTTTATTTATTTGTGAACCATAGTATGAATTTTCTGGAGTGTGTCTGGCTGTCATGTAAATACGATAGTGATTGCGTGGCGGCATGTTAAAGGAGGTATGAAATTGGTATTTCTGCTGCTCGAATTCATGGTAAGTGCATTTTATTTTATTCTTGTTCTTATTTTGTAGAATGTTATGTTCATTGGTTATTTAGTATGAATTTCTGTCGTTATTGTTGTTTTTGAAACAGAACAATGTGTACATGGGTATTATTTGAAATTTATTGTTATTATGTTATTTTAATAAAGCGAGGTGTGCGTAGATTGTAGATTCGTTCCTTGCCTAAATTGTGCAATTCGTAGATTTTTTTTAAGTTTAAACAGGATGCTATGTACATGGTATTCTTTGAAATTTATTGTTATGTTAATTTATTAAAGCAAGGTGTGCGTAGTTTGTAAATTCGTTCGTTGCCTACATTGTGCCATACGTTTTTTTAAGTTAAAACATGTCGCTGTGTACATGGATTCTTGTCAAATATTTTTGGTTAGAAACTTTACGTTTTTGCCATCTAAATTTTTTGTTTCGGATTTTTAGCTTAAATCGTGTGTTCAAAACGTAGTTTTTGCATGTGCGAAAACCGCGTTTTTGGAGACATTTTAGGCTTAAAGTTCGAAATATAGACAAAAAATTTAGATAGTGATATGGCAGTGTAAAGTTTCTAGCCAAAAATGTTTGGCGAGAAATTTGGCGACTTGAGGGCGCATATCAGAGTAGTTCCCGATCGCCTTTCCCGTTTTTATCTCAATCTAGACTTACATTTGAAGGACCTGAAGAAAAGGATTGCCTTTTTTATTTCGAGAAATTTATTGATGAGAATTTTGTAGAACTTATTGTGGAACAATCAAACAAATACCCCTGACAGTTTTTTGAAAAAAATACTTCCATGAAACCGCGTTCAAGATGTCTCTCGTGGGTTGACACAGATGACCGAGAGATGAGAGTATTTATTTTTTTACTAATTTTGCAAGGAATAATAGGAAAACCTTCTTATCAGCTTTATTTCACAAAGCGAGAAAGTCTGGAGACTCCATTTTTTTATAAAACTATGTCAGAAAAAAGATTCCAACTGTTAGTAAAATTTTTACATTTTAGTGATAACAATGCTTTCGATCTAAAAGTGTGCAACAAAAAAACCTACAAAATCGATTCCATTTTGAACTATTTGAGAAACAAATTCAAGGTGTTATACGTACCAGATAAGGAAATATCTGTAGATGAGTCTCTTTTGCTATGGAAAGGAAGACTGTCTTGGAAACAGTACATTCCATCGAAAAGAAGTCGATTTGGTGTTAAATTGTATAAGATATGTGAAAGTAAATCCGGATACATAAGTGATTTCATTATATATACAGGTAAAGACACGCAGTATGGTTCGAACTATCCAGAAGAACAGGGACCAAATCGTATTGTTCTTGAATTGTGCCACGATTTGTTGGATAAGGGATATACGCTATATCTCGATAATTGGTATACTAGTACTGATCTAGCTGAGAAGATGTGCAGAAGAAAAACCGATGTTGTAGGAACAATGCGAAAAAATAGAAAGGGAATACCATCTGATATCAAAAATTGTGTTTTGAAAAAAGATGAACATATTGCTAGGTACAGAGACAAAATAATGATTATGAAGTGGAAAGACAAAAAGGATGTAATTATATTGAGTACTATTATATTGAGGACAATAAATTTGTAGAAATAGAAAAACGAAGGAAAACGATATCAAAACCGGAAGTTATCGCTGACTACAACAAAAATATGGGAGGAGTTGATCTTGCCGACGGACAAATGAACACTTATGAAATCGCTAGAAACCAAGTAAAAAAGTATTACTATAAGATATTTTTACATGCACTAGACATGGTGTGTTTGAATGCATATCTTTTATACAAGAAAGATGGCGGTCACCTAGATAGGCTTCATTTCCTTATCGAAACTGTAGAAAAAGGTGTTGAAAAATATAGAGACGGATCGCAGTTGCCATCTACTAGTACAGGACGATCATCTTTGACACCAAAACCATCTCGACTCTTTGAAAGACATTTTGCAGACTATATACCATCCGACTCTTCAAGAGTAAATGTAACGAGGAGATGCAAATTATGCTATTCCAAAGGTCTTAGGAAAGAATCGAGATTTTGGTGTCCCGACTGCAGTGTTGCTTTGTGTATGCCGCATTGCTTTAGGGAATATCATACGAAATAATTGTTTAAATTCGTTCAATTAATTTGTTTTTCCGGATTAAAAATGTTTAATTTTAATATTTAATATCATTAAATATTTTAAAACGATTTTCTTTTATTTATTCCTTGCGATGTGCTGAAATTACTGCAAAAGAAAAAGTCCCCATTGTGAAACGATTTTACTGAAAGCTTATTCCCCAGTTAACAGGTTAATAGTAATGAATGTAATGTAAACTCAAACTTCAAATAAGAGAAACACAGAAATCTTTGCATTACTGTACTTGCAACAAATGCGTAACTAAAATGCATTCGCCGACCGTATAAAATTGTTTCGGAGGCCACCAGTTTGAAATCACAGTTGTTGTGTGCTGAAGTGTACCTGTTGGTGTGTTGAAATGAGAATTCATTAACTGTTTGGTTAATATGACATGTTCGTTTAGCATTTCTTCTTATAGTGAATCAAATCAAAGAAAAACCTTCATATTTGCAACTTCAAAAACGCCCCAGTCAATAACAACTGCTTTTAAACAATTTAGTTCCCGATTAAGAGCCAATTTGGAGGAACAAACTTGAAGTGCATGGAAAACAAAGGAATAAAATGAAGCTAACTTCCATTTAGTTGGATGACATGATTTGAAGTGAGGTGGAAGGCAAACCAATGAAGGTTTATGGTAAACAGTAGTACTGAAGTTGGATGTGTTACTTCTTAATAAGCTCCACAGCCTGTTACAGGCCAAGGCTGTCTCTTCAAGTTTCCTCCACCTGACCCCATTCGGCATAACAGCCCTCCATCGGTTAACTTCAATAACCTTAAATCTTTCTCAAAATCATTTACCCATCTAGTGGTTGGTCTTCCTTCCTCAATTTTCGAAATGGCTATCATTTTGGTTGGAAATGCATCATCATATCTCAACATATGGCCTAGCCATCTGATACCAGATGCCTTTACAATTCTGACAATATCAATTTCACCATATTTTCTATATTTTCCATATAGCATTCTCTGCTCTATTAAGTATCCAACATTCATTTCCGTAAAGGGAAACAGACCTTATTAAAGTTTTTATATAAATTCAATTTAGTATTTATGTTGATTAGTTTAGATTTAAGTTGTTTTTTAAGGCTGTAGTGACATCTATTAGCCATAAATATTCTATTTTTTATTTCAATTTTTTACCGTTGCAACTTGTGATCAATGTGCCCAGATATTTCAATTTTTTTATGGTTTCAAAGGTATATCTGTTTATCTTCAAGGGGAATAAATCAACAGTTTTATTAGATGCAATCATAAATTTAGTTTTGTCTTCACTGGATGTGTTACATGTAACCAAAATGTTGAGGAACGGAAGAGAATAGCATGTCTCAAGTTAAAAAAAAAAAAAAAAAAAAAAGAGAGAGAACTGAACAGCAGGATCAATAGAATTCATTATTAAAACGCTTTGGTAAGTGTTTTCCAATTTGATTTATGGTTTATATATTTTAATTTTTCTTATTTGATTTTGTGCTTTGCTTATCTGATTTCATGCTTGCTAGTTGCAAATATTTTGTATTAATTTACAGTGCGAAATTTTTCCAATGTTTTTAGCTTTATTATTGGTTAGTTAAGTTAGTTTTTCTTCATTGTTTATCATGCCTTCATTCATTAATCATTTCGCTAAATTCCACCTGAAATTATCCCAAGACGAACTACCAGTGTGCAATAGTTTTACCCTTAGGCCACTGAAAGACATCCTGTATCATAAAAGCAGTTTTTAAACCCCTCATAATCAAATTTATATTAAAATATACTTATTAAAATGCAATAAATTGATACTCAGACTTTGAAATGCTAACAAGTTAGTATAAAATATTAAACAAACATTATTCTGCTATTTTTCAATGTAAAGCCTTTTCACTGATTTCCTTATATAGAGGATTAAAAGTTGGGTATATCAGTAAAAAAATCTAAACATTAGCCAAAACATGAGCAAAAGTTTCTTTATTTTTTCACACACACACACACACACAAAAAAAAAAAAAAAAAAAAAAAAAAAAAAAAAAATAAAAGTTAATTAAATTTGTATCTTCAATTCTTTGAATAAGATTTATATTTATACTCATTTTCCCATTTAATAGTAATGAATGTAATGTAAACTCAAACTTCAAATAAGAAAAACATAGAAATCTTTGCATCACTGTATTTGCAACAAATGCGTAACTAAAATGCATTCACCGACTGCATTAAATTGCTTCGGGAGCCACCAGTTTGAAACCACTGTTATAGACAATGTTCAAATTGCACAAAAATAATATTTTATGATTTAATGTTTCATGGAATAAATAGACAAATTCAATTAACCTTATCTTATTCTTTTTGATTGGTATTTTCCTGAAATTTAAACAATTGCATAATGTTATCTTATCTATTGGATTTACAAATCTTGTTTTCCTGCAATAATGCAATTCAAGAACGATTACATTTTTTCCTTTACCTACATGAAAACTATTTTCGCACTTAAACAAGAAAAAGAATTAAAAAAAAAAAAAACACTCTTAAACTTATTAAGCGAAATTATGTGTATAAAAGAATCTGGAATATCCAATATAAACTGGAATAGATGACAATTGAATAGCCTGCAAAACCTTTTGAGGATGTAATATCGTTATGGAAATATATGCACATTTTAATTTTTAAAACTTTCATCTTTAACTAAGTCATATATACAGTCAAAAGTCTTTAATCCAGACGTCCGTAATCCGGAATGATCTATAATCCGGACCTCAAAGCTAAAGACTTTCTGCACATGCGTAAACGCATGCGCGTTTAATGTATAACGGACGGTATAAGCTAAGCTAAAATTATCTAATTATCTATTTCAGTTAATGTTGCAGATTGCATTGTTCCTTAATCTTCGAATTGGATCCGGCTTATTATTTTTTGCAGACTGTTAGAGCAATTTTATAAAAGTAAGCTTGAACTTTCGATTATGTCAAAAAGAATTTCCGATTCTGGAGCTGCCAAAGGATCTACAAAGCGAAAGCATGTTTTGATGTCCATCAAACAAAAAGTGGAATTGCTGCAAAAAATGGATAAAGGCATATCCTTTGTTTCTCTAACCATTCCGAAATCTGTTTATCAATTTCACGCTGCTCTGCGGGGGGGGGGGGGGGACGTTGCGGGCGCGCAATGAACTGGAAGTTGATCTGTCAGCACTATCCTTATCTTCAGGGCAGATGTTTTTATTTTATTCAGCTTATAATTCCTTACTAAATGTAGTATTTCATCTCGATGTACTCCGTCTTTGATATGATTTAAATCAAATTCCTCGTCATTATAAATATCACGAATACACAACAAATAGTTTTCTGGTTGCAATTTTCCAATTTTGACTATGCGTAATGTATGCTTTACGCATGTGCGCATTGAAAGAAATGTTTAATAAAGTAAACAAATTAAGCTTTTTTTTTTTTTTTAAATTTTTTAGATCATAATTGCTCTTTATTTCATAAATTACGGTTTCATATTTTTAATTTTATAATTTCTGCATGCCATCTTACCAGATTTAAACTGATGATCTATAATCCAGAAAAAACGATAATCCGGAATCGCCGAAGTCCCGACGAGTCCGGATTAAAGACTTGACTGTATTGCATTTTCGTGATCATTACTTCATTTATATAAAGAACATGTTTTCGAACATACACTCAATAACAAAAAAAAAAAAATCCAATGCACCAAGAAGGAGTTGTCCGATGGGGACAAAAATGGGTAGATAAGAAGATTATGTACAGAATTAGAAAATGATTAAAATTTCAGAATAATTGAATGATTTATTTCAGAGTTATATAGCTACAAAGTAACGAGCTCAATAAGGCATTGACACAACTCTAGCCTGGATGCAGGCTGCCATGCAGCATAGCATAGACTGATAAAGCTCCCAGATGGTCTCCTGCTGTATTTCTTGCCAAATTTGCTCCAATTGCTGGGCTAGGTCATCAACATTCCCTGGTAGATGCAGTCGCCTTTCCATCATATCCAAGACATGCTTGACGGACGAGAGGCCTGGCTGGCCAAGGAAAAGGAAGCGTTGGGCAAGCTGTAGGACAGTTCATAGCAACACGTACCATATGTGGTCTGGCATTATCTTGCTGAAAAATAAGGTCAGGGTGTTGCAAAACGAATGCCAGCAAAACAGGTCTCGGAATGTTGTCGACGTACTGCTGTGCTGTAAGTGTGCCTCTAATGACAGAAACAGGGGTCCGGCTATCAAGGGAAATGGTACCCCAGACCATAACTCCTGGTTGAGGTCCTGTGTGACGCGCAACAATGAAAGCAGAATTGGCATGTTGCTCTGGGTGTCTCCAGACAAGTCTTCAATACCCATCACAATAAAGTTGGAAGCAGGATTCGTTGCTAAAGACTAAGTGTCCCCAGTCAGCATCATTCCACCCTGATCAAGCCAAGCACAACTGTAATCTGGCTTGACAGTGTGCAGGCGCTAGTGGCAGGTGGCATAACGGTCAGTACGAGCGT